CACACACACACACACACACACACACACACACACACGCACACTCAGGGAGAGAAAGAGAGGGAGGCTCCTGGACTTTGTAAAGGGAATGAAATGCAGCAGTTATGACATTTCTTTCTTTATGTTTGTCAGATTTCACAGATAATCATCGTTACATGCAGCAGCCTAACACCCGAAAATGCTAATTTACACATTGATCAAGCTAAAATCTGTTCYCATGAACCCWGTTTTCTGACCATCCTTGCTTTTTTTTCCTGAAAGTATGTCTTGACCTTGGAGAAAGGCAGAGTGCAACAATAATGACTCACTCTATGACTGTGAGAGGAGGGAACTGTGGTGAGCGATGAAAGAGCTTCTCTTGTCCTTCCTCCACCMCACACCCACCCTGTTTGCTTTTTCTTTTTTTTTTACACTCACCTTCAGCATTCACCCTGTCTGACTGATGTGGTTTGTTCAGCCCAAACTGCTAATCTGGAACATTCAGGGACAGGCTACRACAACAGTCACTGCACACCTCAGCCAAAAACCCAGACAGCCCAAACAATAACGCTGTTATTTAAAGTTATATGTAGCTTTTCAGTTTTTTAAGGCATCATTTTGCTTTTTTGATCAATTTGATTTTCAAATCTATGCCAGTCACACATTAAAACACAAGATATAAAATCATTTGTAAACCAGGAGGCTGTGGGTTAGGTTTTTTTGTGATTTACACGAGCAGCATCAAGRTGGAGTTGCTCTAGGTGTTGGGACGGGGGGATGTTGCCTGGTCCTCCAGAAAAATGACAGTGCTGCCTCATCTAAAAGCATAACACRTCTGATTAGACAGTTACTGTCACACAGGTAGACTCATTCATGAGTCCTATATGGGAAAGACGAGATGAAGAAATCAGACACCAACAGACCTGAACTCAGATTTATCAAAATGTTATCACAGGTCAGTAGCAGCATTTATCAAAGGCTTCTCCATAGATTATAACCTAAAATCTATATGAACTATAAATTATGTAATAACTATTGTTTCCTCAAAAATAGTAAACTCCTTTTATAGTATTTTTAAGCCTTCCTGGAATTCTCACCGCTGTGGTCCAAACGTGCGTTGTGGATTAGTTTATAACGCAGTATCAACTTAATCTTTGTTTCTGCGGGGGATTTGGACCTGACCCGTTTAATCTCAGGAAATGATTACGGTAAAGAGAGAGATTAGACAGAAAAGCCAATTTTTTGCAAATGGGACCATGAGGTGAAAACGTATACCACACATCAATGCGATGACACACAGATCCTCCCTCTTAACCCTGGATGGTCCCCAAGCAGCAAATTATTCCGATGTTTGTAGTTTGAGGTTAAAATATTTATTTTACTTATGACTCACCACCAAAAAATGAAAGGAAAGGGAGGGTAATAATGGTTTTAGGTGGTTGCCTTTATTTACAGAACATCTCATGAACCCCAGATTGATTTTAATGAAACTCTCTAAAGCTAACTGGTTGTACCTCTACAACTGCTTAGGTTTTAGACTCAACTAATTTCACACAGCTAATCAACATTAATAAAGACAACAAAGGGTAATGAAACTTTTAGAAATGAATCACTAAATACCCATGTAGAGCTAATTAACTTTTAAATTCAAACTAATTCAAGATGGCTGTCAAACTCAGCCGACCTTAGAAAACGTATAAACATAGTAATTAAGCTAATTTGACACATTTTAAGCTAAAATTCTGTGTGGTGGTAGTTTAGAGTAATTGCTTTCAGCTTTATATCTTTGCTTAAAACTCAGAGCTTCACTGATGGAGTCAAGCCTGTTTGTGTGCTCACAAAATTTTTCACAAATCACTGGATATTGCTGAAACTTTCAATAAGTAACCWTTAGGTGCACATCTATACAACTGAAATTTGATAGATGCCACAGCTTTTTAATGTTAGCAAACACAAAAATGAATTTAATTCAGTCAKTTTTACAGAAATTGAGCTTAGGTTTGGTGTGGAAGTAGCTTAGTCATTTCCAACACACACTTCAGACGTTTACAACCAAAACCTAAAGGTTAGATTTGCTAACTACCAATTTGCTAACTAATAAGAATGGTTTCGCAAATGCTAAACCACTAAACAGGTAGGGAAATTAGAGGAATCTAACGCTAACTGACAACTGCTAACTCAAGATCTGTAATTGGGACTGTATTGCCTCTAAATTACTGTATTAATGCAACAGGATTTGGTTAGTTGAAGACTAACACAGGTGGACATACAAATGCTAAATATGCTACAGCTTGCAGATCCATATGTGTGAAGGGATAGTTGTTTTGGTTAGCTTACTTAAAGTTAACAGAACTAAATTTAGTGGAAGCTAATTGGTCTGCTAATGGTTTCCAACATTAGCGAAAATGCTAATCGACTAAACGAAAATGTAGCTGTTAGCGGATTACTGGAGCTGTACCCACCACTGCTATTGCACAGTTTTATCTTCAAGTTTTGACCAAAAGGCTCTTAATTCATAATTTCTAAACAGGAAATGGTTTTAGTTTAAAATTCATGAACTGTGATATGCATATCTTTAATAATGTTACTGCTGGTTTTGTATTTGTTTTGTTCAAGTACTTTAACCATGTCTAATTTTTTCACGTGAAGCCATAGGCGTAATTTGCAGGGGGGGGTAGGGGGTTATGACCCCCACAATAATTTGATCCAGTCAAAATAATCCCCCCAATAAACTGACATTATTTGCTCAAACACAATATAAATTATAGTTTATATACAGTAGTAGAACTTTATTTCATTCAACAAACAAAAAATAAAACAAACAATTAATAAAAGAACAAACAAATAATAATAGAAACAAACAAATAATACAACATCGTTGTGTCAAAAAGACAATCACAATGTAGTCAAATGAAAAGGAGCAGAAAGAAGAATAAAATCTTATAACAACTGCCCCCAATTAAAAAAGTATATGTATCTAAAAAAAAACGTACAACATACGAGTAATAAAACTCAACTTAATACACAATATAATTTCAAATAATCAACAAACAGCATCACAACACAAATACAAATCTTAACCAGTATTTTGTTCATATCTCATTTAAAAAAGACTTTTAGTATTCTACTAAATAAATAAGTTGTTCCAGCATTCTTAAGGTCATCAAGCAAAATATATATTTTTTCTCTTTCTTCTACTCTTTTTTTTCTTTTAAATATATATTGTGTTTGAAATACAAAAAACAAAAACAACGACTACCGGTACTACTACTTAAAAGAAAAAATTCCTCAAAGCGCAAACAGCCTGTGAATATTCATTAATAACATAGTTCACTTTTTAACATTAGTGATGAACAAAAAATAAACTGGTTAAGTAGACAGATGCAACTCTCTTGTTGTCTTTAGGTAACTTTAACCTGATTAAAAAATTTACCATGTCATAAATGTACGTTTAAGCATAATTGCTAAAAATGACATGCAGGATTTTAGAACATAGCCCCCCCCCCCCCCCCCCCCCAATGGTAGACTTAAAGTTTTCCCTGTGTGTGAAGCGTTTCTTCACACCTGTTCATCACCTCATAGTTCTCCTGCTCCGTTTGTTGGTTGCCTGCAGGACAGCTGGGAAATAGTGGAAGGCCTGCGTGGCGGCTTCAGCAACGTCCAGGAGCCCCAGAAACAGGAGGGCTACATGCTGAAGAGGAGGAAGTGGCCTATGAAGGGTTGGCACAAGGTAGAGTAAAGCCCGTGAATGATTGGTGCGACTTTAACACTTCTCTCTGAGTGATTGTTTTTCCACACACGACGCCTGAAGGTCGACTGAGTTTTCCGTCCTTCCKGCACAATTTCCACACCGCTTTCGTRAACGTGCTGACACGGSTCGTTTGYGCTTCAAACAAATTGAAAGAGCTCCCTCAGCCGATGGTTTCACCCTCCGGACGARATGCACGCGACCCGGGTCAATGCCAGTTTACGCTCCGTCTGAAAGCTTTTCCTGGGAAGATAATGCTCTGATATCTCAGAGCTCCACTCAGATGCATTAGCTGATGGCCCGCCGCTCACTATATGTTTAGTATTGACTTCTAAGTCAGATCTCTGAGCTTTCACCGTTCTCCTGATGTACAGTAACAACCCCGAGAGTTGCATCTTTGTAATGGAGCGGAGGAGATAGATTGCCTCTGAATGAGAGGAGGAGTAATGAAATGAGACAGATACATGAGAGTCGTCGGGATGACGAATATCTCACCAAGGATAAATTAGTCGCAAACATTGTCTGGAGGTTCTTTTTCTTTCTGTCACCATCTAAGAGTTAYGACAGACTGCTGTCGGGAATGTTACATATCATTCCAGCTGCATCTCATATGCTCTTTTTTCTTCTTTTTTTTTTCTCCCTACAGAGGTACTTTGTCCTCGATAAGGGCATCCTTAAATATGGCAAGTGCAGCGCTGATGTGAGTACAAAAGGACAACACGTGAGCTTGTCAGTGAGATAACAATTCCTTCTCAAGCAGCTGAATGTATATTTCAGATCTATTTTCTCTCACTCTACGTTCTACCTGTCAGTCTTCATGATATTTCAGCTGTGCAGAAATCCCTGGTGTGCTGGAGGCAATAAAAGGATTGTTCTTCCGTTTCTAAACTGGACAATCCCCTGTGGCACGTGTATACCAGTCAATCAAATTATAATATTTTGTTGACACTGCCTTACAGATTGACAAAGGGAAACTTCACGGTTGCATTGATGTGGGGCTCTCAGTCATGGCCATTAAGAAGAAAGCCAASTGTATTGATCTTGATGCCGAGGAAAACATTTACCACCTGAAGGTAAACAACAGGACTGTGCTAATCCGCTAACAGCTAATTGCAAAGAGCCAAACTAGCGGATTTTTGTTTAGCGGATTAGCATTTTTGCTAACTTTAGAAACCATTAATGTAAACTTAAAATGTGTGCTCCATGCTGTATATARGATTGTATATATGAGTATGACTGTGTACTCTTTATGGGGGTATGTATGTGGATTAATTAGGTTATACTGAAGTGGTGGTTGGATCTCCTTCATTTTTATGTATTTAATAAATTTTTTCTTTTGTTTTGTTTTTTATTATTTTAAATTTAATTTTTTATTTATTTTTTTGATCCCTCTGTGTAGTGTTCTGATTTTTATAAATGTATGGGTTTTGAAATTATACATAGCTCTTGTACAGGCATTTTGGGTTGGTGGGTGGGGGCGGTGGGGGAGACTGGACTGGGATGGTTTTGGTGTCGGAGTCTAGGATGATGGGTGCATGGAGACGTGCTGGGTATCTGAGTATAAATGTGTGTATAAGTATTAGTGTGTAGTTGGGTGTGATTGTCTCTGGATGTGAATATAGAACTCAAAATTTAGTATTAGAATAATATTGGATTACCTTGTGTAATATTTTATACGTGTATAATTTTCGTTTGTGTTTTTCATCACAAACTGATAAGACTCTGAAAACCAGATGAAGTGGTGGATAGGGGTAGGATTAAATAAGTTTTACTTCTTCCTACCCCTTTTCAGACATGTTAATGGGATTTATGTGCTTCATGTGARTGTATGTATTTGGGTAGGTTTACACAGATAGGTGTGYGCACATTGGGTGTACATTYATTTTATGGGTTTATTTATTTGTATGTAATTAGTCTAAGTGGTTCATTTTTTTAAAGAGGCTACAAGAGGTTTTGGTTGTCTAAAAACTTATAGATATAGATATCGATTCAGACCATGCTTTATGTAATGAATTCAACATTTCKGGAATAAATCAAATCAAAATCAAWTTAGCAGACTAATYAGCTTCCACTAAATTTAGTTCTGAAAAATTATGTCAGCTAGCAAAAACACAACCAACTATCGTTTCACACATGCACCGCTGCGTGCCTGCGGCATGCACCTTGTGTGTGCGCATAGCTTTTGTCTAGTGCTTTTGCCTTTTATCTTTTGTTTAGTGTTCTGCTTTTTTATAGCTCTTAGCAAGTATTCTACTTCTTTTAACTAGTGTTTTACTCCTTTTTGCTTTTAGCTAGTGAGCTGCTTCKTTTATTTGTATTGTCACAGAAATTTCAGTCTCTAAATTTTATATTTTTCTTGAAAATAAAAAAATTACATTAGCTTTTTGTGTGAAAAGTAATGACTTACTCAGTTTATATGATGTTATCCTGGTGAACTGAATTAGTGGTTATCAATTAGCGTTAGCTTCTTCAATTTTTCCTACCTGTTTAGCGGTTTAGCACTTGCATAGATTATTTTTTAGTAAGTCGATTTCTTAGCTAGTCTGAAACTCTGGCATAATAGGCAGTGAGTGGTTTAATTTTAATCATATATTTGTGTAAGGCATCGACGGACCTTTTGCACATTTCTCCACAGATCAAGTCACCGGAGCTGTTTGACGAGTGGGTGTCAAAGCTGCGCCACCACCGGGTCTATCGGCAAAATGAGATCATCACCTGTCCTAACGAGAAGTCCTTCTTCTACCCACTCTACCCCTCCCCGAACTCCCCCGGCATAGTTGAGGGTGCATCTATGAGACGGGTAAAACCTGCAGCTCCTAACGTGTTCTCTGTAAAGTCGCCGTTAAATCTCCCATCTGTCTCATTAATATTTCATCATGTCGAGATGGAAGGTTATTGTTTTTGGGGCTGAACCTTGTGTCTGTTTGCTCCTGCAGTGCTTGTCCATTCGAAGGCAGTCGTCGGTGCATCCTGCAGGAGCGTTCCCAATAAGCTCCAACAACCAGGCCAAGGTAGCTGCCTGGCTCCAGTCTTCTGAGGACATGGACAAATGCTCCAAAGGTGACAAAGAAGACTTCCTTCTCTCATGTTCATATGTTTATGTATATATTTCTTATTTTAGCCTTTTTTTCACAAAACTTTACAGAATGAAATAAGTATTCATTGAAGGTCTGCTTGTCTTYTGCCACCTTGTATGCCAAAGTTTTAAATTTAAACAAAGAAATATGTGTTTATAGTCTGTTGTGGATGAATTCTGTAGGAGCAGTTTGTCCGAGGCAGTCAGAAAGTGTGCCCATTTTTTTGACCCTAGACACCACAGACATTGTGCACAGAGGAGTTTATCTACAGAAAAGCGTGGCGCTCTGTGACCGATTGTAGAGCAAAGAGGTCTCTAATTCAATCAAAGAGGTCTCTAATTCAATGCCWCAGGCATCGCACAGACCATTAATGGTAACGAGAGAGCTGACTGCAAAAGCTGGCAGCCAGGCCCACTTCAAAGAACCAGATTCTGTTATAGGTATTTCAACAGCAGTCTGTAGGACTGCCTTACAGACCTGGATTAGACGTCAACACTCAATCTGCTGGAGGGAGCTGACACACTGTAGACAGGCACAGGTACTAATTAACGGCCCAAATCTTAGGTTTGAGAAAGCTCTAATCATTCTAACAAGGAAAACTTTAACTACATTTGGAGTCCTAATTGGGCACAACCTGCTCAACTGCCACAAAATGTTGATAGGACTCCATGACAACGATCTGTGTGATTGAATTAGAGACCTCTTTGCACTACTTTGACCACTACCTGGCTTTGAGCAGTCAAAGAAAAATAATTCTTGGGGACCCTGTTATGGATCCAGAGAACACTGAGTGTTTCTAACCTAGTGTTCTTCATTCGAGGGACGTGAAGGTTTGAATAAAGACCAGTGTCTTTTTAGGGAGAGCAATGGGCCCACTTAYGAGACTCCTGCTCACATGGGTTCTTTGTCCATCCCCACTCAACATAACCATAACATCACACAATGAAAGACAGCTGAGGAGGACAACAAATCATTAAAACGTTAGACTGGAATTTGACAAAATACATATTGAGAAGCCACAAAGCTTCTGGGAGAATGTCTTTTGGACAGATGAAACAACACTGCTATTTCCTGACAAGAGGTTACACCAACACTATGTTCACAGATGCAAAAATGAAGCACATCAAGAAAAAAAAACTCTGAGGAGAATTAGTTCTGTTATGGGGCATCGGGGGTCTTGAATCTGTACAGGGTACAATGAAATCTCGAGACTATAAAGGTATTCTGGAGAGTTAATGTCCAGCCTAGGGTTAGAAAGCTTGGTCTCAATCGCAGTTCATGGGTCTTCCAACTGGATAATGACCCAAAACACAACTACAAACACCCAAGAATGAATCAGCAGTTACAGATACTATCGCTTTGCTTCTTTTGTTAGTTAGATTTTTAAAATAATTCTGTTGAACCACAGTTAAAAAGCATTGTGGCATTTTCATTTGATTTATGTTTTTGTAAATTTGTATCTATTATTACTTTTGTCAGTTTGAAGTTATTTCAGTGACCATTGTGCGCTTTTTGGTCATTAACAGAGGGTTACCAACAATTTTGTGCACATGTGTATACTGAACAGTGTGACCAGACACTTGCTAAGTTTTCTTCTATCATGCTTTGTTAACAACATGGGTGCTTATGTAATGAAAACATATGTACCTTCAGCTCCAACACACCGGCACCGAGCCAACATTAAATGAACAGCTGTTACTGATGCAGCAAGGCAGCGTGAAAATCACTTCAAAATCAAGTGAACAAAAATGATTCCAAGAAACTAGAACTGATTTGTCTGAAATGTGGTCAGCAGTAACTTTACTTTTTTTTCCTTTTTTTTAGGGATAATACTATATTATGTGACTGGATGTTTTAAGGAGCCCAAATTATTTTATTATAAGTGTTTTGTTAGAAAATCTAATCAATAAAGAGAAATCCATATCAATAAGGCATCATTTAAGGGGAGTTCCAAAGTGTTTGGGATTTTATAAAAGCTTTCTGGTAGCAGTAAAAAAGCCAAATGAACATTAAACTTTTAATGAGTTCAGCTTTTTGTTTTTGCTGTATTTTCTCATAATGTATTCATTATCTTCTGCACTTCCAGTAATTAACGTCTGTTAGATAAGACTGGCGTGGCGGTGTGATTGAAGAGAGGAAGCTGGTGATTACTGATGCGGAGTTTGTCTCAGTTTTCATTCATTAGGATTCTGTTGACGAGCTGACACTCATCTGGCTGCCTAAAGGCCCGACGCTCCAAACTAGAAACCTTTAGGTGACTTTTTTGACACTCAGGGCAAAGATTAATGAACAGAACACTGACGTTTTTGTTAAAATGAGATTAGCATTATTGTAATAAATGTTTGTCATGGAGGTTTTCTAGCAGTGGTTCGATTAAAATCTGTAAACAGGGATTTTTATCTATAAATATCAGATTCATGCCAGATTATGTGCTAACTGTTGTAAATCAGCATGTTTGCTGTGTTTTTGTCTTCATGTGTTCCTCTTAGGTTTTAGCTTGTAGCTAGCCATTTGCTACTTTTAGCTTGTAACTCTGGGTTTGCTACTGTTAGCTTTTAGCTATTATTTTGTGTTTTTTAGCTTTTAGTTTCTGTTCTGCAACTTTTAGCTTTTATCTCAAGTCTTTTGATAGTTTAGTTTTAGCTAATGTTCTGCTTCTTATGGGTTTTGGCTAGTGTTTTACTCCTTTAGCTAGTGTTCCGCTTCTTTTGGGTTTTGGCTAGTGTTTTACTCCTTTAGCTAGTGTTCTGCTTCTTTTGGGTTTTGGCTAGTGTTTTACTCCTTTAGCTAGTGTTCNTAGTGTTTTACTCCTTTAGCTAGTGTTCTGCTTCTTTTGGGTTTTGGCTAGTGTTTTACTCCTTTAGCTAGTGTTCTGCTTCTTTTGGGTTTTGGTTTTATTTCTTTTAGCTTTTAGCCAGTGTTCCGTTTCTTTTTTGGTTTTGGATAGTCTTTTACTTCTTTAGCTTTTAGCTAATGTTCTGCCTCCTTTGGGTTTTTGGCTAGTGTTTTATTTCTTTTAGCTTTTAGCTAGTGTTCTGCTTCTTTTGGGTTTTGGATAGTCTTTTAATTCTTTAGCTTTTAGCTAGTGTTCTGCTTCTTTTTGGGTTTTGGATAGTCTTTTACCTCTTTAGCTTTTAGCTAGTGTTCCGTTTCTTTTTGAGTTTTGGCTAATGTTTTACTCTTTTAGATTTTAGCTAGTTTTCTGTTTCTTTTTGCTGGAGTGTTACTCCTTTTAGCTTTTAGCTAGTGTTCTGCTTCTTTGAGCTTTTGGCTAGCATTTTACTTTAAGTTATAATTCGTGACACTTTTTTTTCCTCCTATCTTTTATTGTTTCTATCTTTTTAAATCTCCGGGTGTTTTCCTCCTTGTTTTGCAGAGCTGTCGGTGTGTGAGGCCTACCTGTTGGAGCTGACCCACCTGCTGCAGAACATGGAGGTTCTCCATCGCACCTACTCCGCTCCGTCCTTCCAAGCCCTGCAGGTCCCTGTCTGTTCGCTTTAACCTTCAGAACAGATTTAAACACATCACCAGCTCACTCATACAGTGGAGTGCGAATGTTTGGGCAGCCTTGTTGATTTTCCTGATTTACCTTTATAAATCATTGATTAATTAGATTTTAAAAAATCTGTTAAATATATCATATAGGGGACAAACAGTGACATTTGAGAAGTGAATTGAAGTTTGTGATTTACAGAAAGTGTGCAATAATTGGTTAAACAAAGTTAGGCAGGTGCATAAATTTGGGCACTGTTGTCATTTTATTGATTTCAAAACCTTTAGAACTAATTATTGGAACTTAAATTTGGTTTGGTAAGTTGAGTGAACCTTGACCWCCATACACAAGTGACTCCAATTATGAGAAAGGGTAAGTAAGGAGGTAAATTGTATGTTTTTCTCCTCTTTGCATCTTCTCTGAAGAGTGGCAGCATGGGAGTCTCAAACAACTTTCAAATAAGCTGAAAACAAAGATTTTTCACCGGCATGATTTCATCATGGTTTAGGGGAAGGATACAGAAAGCTATCTCAGAGATTTCAGCTTTCAGTCTCCWCTGKGAGAAACAYTGTGAGAAAATGGAAGACCACAGGCACAGTTCAAGTCAAGGATCTAAGTGGCAGACCAAGAAAAAATCTCCAATAAACAGAAGTGAAGGATGTTGAGAACAGTCAGTGTCAACCCACAGACCAGCACCAAAGACCTACAACATCATCTTGCTGCTGATGGAGTCACTGTGCATCGTTCAACTATTCGGCACACTTTACACAAGGAGATGCTGTATGTGAGAGTGATGCAGAGGAAGACTTTTCTCTGCCCACATCACAAACAGAGCAGCTTGACGTATGCTAAAGCACATTTGGACAAGCCAGCTTCATTTTGGAATAAGGTGCTGTGGACTGATGAAACTAAAATAGTTATTTGGGCAGAACAAGGATCGTTATGCATGGAAGAAAAAGAACACAGCACTCCAAGAAAAACACCTGCTACATACAGTAAAATCTGGTGGTGGTTCCATCATGCTGTGGGGCTGTGTGGCCAGTACAGGGACTGGGAATCTTGTTAAATTTGAAGGACGCATGGATTCCAACCAATATCAGCAGATT